ATCAGTTTTCCTTTTTTCTTTTTTTTTTTTTTTTTTTGTTTAAAGTCTAAAATGAGTATCGTGTCTGATAGAAATGGTCATAACATTTAATCTAATGCAAGCTATCGACTGTCTTTTATTTTTTTTTGAAAAGTTTACAAATAAACTGATTTTTATGTGCACTTTGAAAAAACGTTCGTCTTTATAATTTGTTATACTTTCAAAATCCAACTTTGTAAAATACTTTAAAAATAATGAAAACGTTAGTATTTATTGGAAGCTATTTCTGGCTAAATGCTAAACGTCTAAACATGTGTTTTTTTCACTGATTCCTTTCCAATAATCCTATGAAGTAGGTAACAGATATTAATATCCCCATTTTACAGAGGAGGAAACAGGTTCTGGAAGTTCAAGCAACTTACTTAGTTTACCCCCTTAGTAAGTGGTAGAGCTTAGATTCAAACTCAAGTTTAACTTGACTTTAAGCCTGATGGAGGTTTTATCACTGCGTACATTGCATCCATTGCATCCCTGTTCACCATGGAACATGAAATGGTAGCAGTAGCTTACATTTGTTTTACTAACAAAGGCAGTATCATCTACCTGTTGATTCCCGATCAACACAAGACTAAGCAGGCACAGAGAAGGCTCGATGCCAGGCCCCTGTCCACACCTGGCTGGTCCACATGGACTTGGGGTTTACCATGTTTGAACTGCCAGTGTGTGGACTAGAGAATCAAAGGAGAGGGTGCCCCTGCAAAATTAGTGTCCCTGGCTGTTCCCACAAGATTTCACATGTGCCCTAACACTGCAAAACACACTTGTCGTTGTACCCTAGAGAAATAACCCCTCATAGTGAGGCTGTATTTCTGTCATTGTTCAAGGGTAGAAAAAGAAGTTTCAGCCGCTCTGCATTTCTGGCCAACAGGGACTCGGACACTTTGATAGGTATGTTTAAAAAAGATTCCATGCGAAGAAAAATGTATTTATTTTTCTCACATTCCTATTATTTTTGAAGCCAGACCCTGATGAATGGCTAATGCAGAGTAATGTTATTTGCCTGTTGTTTCTATTTTTTTTTAACATGTCCCAAATCCTAAGTCCACCTAGACCACTATTGGTGAGGATATTAGTTAAAATTATTGTTGTTGGAAATAACTTCAAGTGATAGGTTATTTAAAATATGCATTGCATTGAACATCCTAGAAAATTCTGGAACTGCAGTGTGTGTCAGAATCACCTGTAGGGCTTTTCCCATACAAATCAATAGGCCCCACCCCAGTGTTTCTGATTCAGTAGGACAGAGACCTTAAATTTGCATTTCTGATGAGTTCCCAGGTGACACTGATGCTGCAGGTCAAACTTTGAGAATTACTGGTCTAGAACTTAGGTCTTCACTTAACGTTGTTGCAGGAGTGTGTGAATCTGTGTTTGAAATTCTTCAACCCAACTAGATAATTAGCTCATTTCTTCCTTTTGCCTGTTACTGATGTGAAAGAAAACTTCTCTTCAGGACCAAGTGTGCCTATTTCTGACTTCCAGCTTAGTTCTATTCAGAAGTTTAAGTAAGGGAAATGGAAGGTCTTTTCACAGCATTTGTGTCTTTGCAATGAATAGAGAGAAAAATCTGAAAGGGATTCAGTGCCTCTAGTCTATACCTTCTATGCCTGGTAATGCTGGAGTGGAATTGGTCCCTTCAACTGCTTCTCTTTGCTAGCCTAGCCCCTCAGTCTGAATTTCGGAATAGCTTCTCGCTGTGCAAAACACAGCCCTGAGGGAGAGAGAGAGATCTGAGGAAATATGCTGAAAAAGCACTGGACTAAGTGAGAAGGCAGATTTTTTCTACCCTGTCTAGCGCTTCCATACGGGACAACTAAATAACTGTGACTTTGCTCAAGCCATTTATATTCCTGGGTGCTGTTTACTCATTTGGAAAGTGGGGCAAATAATTCCTGACCCATTTACCCTACAGAATGCTTAGGAGCATCTGAGAAAATGTGCTTAAAGTTTACATGAAAGAGCTTCACAAATGTGAAGCTTTATTGCTGTGTTACTTCTGATACCTAGAAAAATCTCTGTAATTATTACTAGTTTAATTTTTAAGAACTGTTCATCTAGTGAGACTGGGAGTAGTTGCAGGGACGCCTATATATCATTTGACCAGTGGCCCTAGTTGCAAAAACTTGTTTTGTTGTTGAAACATTTTTTTCTTCACCTATCCATCATTTGGGGTGGGGGCGGCGGGTATATGAATAAGGATTACAAAGTAGGTGCAAATGGTTTGAAATAGATAAACAATATGCTTATGTGTGTGATGTACCCACTTTAAGTGTTCTTTAAGAATTAAAGTTAGATTTCACAAAGCAGTCAGAATTCTGCTTGGTCAGGCAGCATTCCATGGGTGCTATCCTGCAAAACGCTCCCCCTCAAACATGAGCTGTGAGATTAACTATGTCGTGGGGTGGAGCATTATCGTCATCATCCTCTCTCCCGCCCCCAAGGGGCATGATTCATGTTAGTGTATCTGCAGGTCCTAGAAGTCCTGCACTAAAGAACCCCCTGCTTAATTCCCTTTAAGTCTGCAAATACAAAGTGTTTGCAACAAACCAAGGAACCTCTTTTCTGATATCCCCTATTAACCTTGCATGGAACTAGTATTTTCAGGAATAGTTTTCAGTGAAATACTACTCTAGGCTCATGATGCAGTCTAAAAGTTAATAATATTATTATCTAAACAATACTTAATGACTAAAAATTCAGTACGGAAACTCTTAACCTATTGAACAGGTATCTAACAAATAATAATACATAAAGATGTTTAAGAATATCAAGTATTAAAAAAAGAATATCAAGTATTATTATTACGTAATTAAAGTAAATGAAGGGAAGCTTGTTTTCAAATACTTGACCATTTTTTAAATATGTTTTACTTGAGTTTCTTGCAGTTATGTTTTGGCCACTAAAATCACAACCCTCAACTTTGAAATTCAGTCAAGTCCGATTGCTGATGTTGCAAAGAGGGTGACATGTTGCAGGTTCCAAGGATGTTTGGAGCTTCAGAACACCTAGGAGAGGGCGTCTGCAGAAGCACTTTCTTTCTTTTATTTTTTTAAAGGAAATTCTGTTCTCAGATGGATTTTTAAAAATCTTTATTTATTTATTTGGCTGCATCAGGTCTTAGTTGCGGCACGTGGGCTCTCTAGTTGCTGCACGTGGGCTCTAGAGTGTGTGAGCTTAGTTGCCCCGCGGCATGTGGGATCTTAGGTCCTCGAACAGGGATCGAACCCGTGTCCTCTGCATTGGAAGGCGGATTCTTAGCCACTGGACCACCAGGGAAGACCCCAGAAGCACTTCCTTTTAGAAGCAGTGGCTGAGGAGCAATGCCTGTATCCTACATCTAAAACCAAACTCAGTCTTCCAGCATCATACCCTAAATGTTTGCCTTTGCAGGGCAGGTGGTGAAGAGTCCTCATACTGACTTTTGTTTTCTAATCAATGCGTACACTCAAAAACAGTAACACATTAAAAAACTACAACAATGCTGCATTCTTTGAAAACAAATGAGTCTTGGTTTGGAATGGAGGAATCAAATCTCTCCTGCTAACAGAACTCTTTGTGTGCATCTGTATGGTGCTAATTACACAACAGAATAAGGAGGTATTTCAAATCCTTTAACTGACAGCTGTGTGTCAAATGATGGACGATCAATTTTATGTCTGAAATGTTCAGTGGTAGGGAATTCATATGACCCTCTTCTAGCCATAGGAGATCTACAAGGCTAATCTTCCAGAGTATCATTTTTATAAAGGACATCTCTGATGCCACTGAGAAACAAAAAGTGGGGAGGACTTCTACAGGCCCCAGTGAGCAGAGAGCACTAGAGCCTGGTGGTGTGCTGCCTTCTGCGGTCTTGGCCCTTGGAGAAGAGCTCTTTCTACTGCCTCGGCTTGAGTACCTCCTTTGTTACAGAGTCTGCAGTGGTGGGGGCCAGCTTGCTCCTGGAAGTAATAATTCATCCCTGGGGACACAGTGATTCAGACCTCATTCTCTTAATCTGTAAAATAGGGATCATGGACTCTACAGGACATGTATCCAAGTGCTACCTATTTGCTCCACTTGATTACTCTGAAGGACAGAGATGAGATTAGGGTCTTATGGATGTGTTTAACTCTGGTTTTTGGCAGCAGTGAGGGAGCTGCATATCTGTAGGATTTGGAAGCTATTGTAGATTTGAGAATACACAGGTGGTATATAAAGAGCCCTGGGTCTTTTTTTCTTCTTCTTCTTTTTTAATAAAGCTTGCTCACAAATTTGATGATAGTGCATCTATAACTTGTGATTTCCTAAAATATAGGAGCTATGTATAGGATTATGTATTCCTTACCCTTACCAATAGGATGTAATGGAGTTTCATTTTTGTCCATCTTTCACAAAATGCAGTTCCATTTTATTCAAACAAAAGATGGTAGTTATATTATGGCTGTTCAGTAGCATTTATGAACCTGAGTTTTGCTTTTCTTTTAGCCTGGTATGAAAGGTTTTCAACTTTCTTCTACAGGATGGGGGGCAGTTGGGGGCAGGGGGAAGGGGAGTGTCTGGCTCCTGAATGTCTAATAGTTCACAAGCATGATGATATTATGATGATATATCATTAAGATGATATATATTTTATATTATTTTTATTTTTAAATAAATTTATTTATTTGCTTTTATTTTTGGCTGTGTTGGGTCTTCGTTGCTGCACATGGGTTTTTCTCCAGTTGAGGCGAGCAGGGGCTACTCTTTGGTGCCGTGCGCATGCTTCTCATTTTTGTGGCTTCTCTTGTTGCGGAGCACGGGCTCTAGGCGTGCGGGCTTCAGTAGTTGTGGCACATGGGCTCAGTAGGTGTGGCTCGCAGGCTCTAGGCGTGTGGGCTTCAGTAGTTGTGGCCCACGGGTTTCGTTGCTCCGAGCATGTGGGATCTTCCCAGACCAGGGCTCGAACCCGTGTCACCTGTATTGGCAGGCGGATTCTTAACCACTGCGCCACCAGGGAAGCCCAAGATGATATATATTTTAAAGGACAGTCTTGTGAAGTCTGTGAAGTTAACTGTGAATTTATTAATGAATTTTCTGAAGACATCTGGTTTTATCTAAAACATTCCTGGGAAGTTCCACAGGTTCTTAAGATCTATGGGACAGTGCTTTCCCAGTTTACCATTTTATAGACTGTCTCAGAATAGATTTGCTTTTGTTAAAAAAAAAAACTGCCCTAAAAATCAGGCACATGGCATAGTTTATGTTTAGTTAATGTAAATTTTGTAACAGCAGTGTTTGGTGACCTTTAATTATATGCCCCTCTTATTTTAATCCTTAGGGGAAACCTGTTGGTTTTCACTTTGTTTTCTCAAGAATGAGGTAGTAATGATCTCCTTGTTATTGCACCTACTTTGTACGGTTTTGTTAAGAAACATAGTGACCTAAAATCTTAGCTTTTCCCTTAGATTGAGAGAAATGAACCCTAGTGAGTTTTTTTTTTTTTTGGAAATTTATATGGCAATTTGCTGCAGAGTTTATACACAAAATAGTTTTGTTGCACGTTTGCTGCTGTTAGGCCCATCTTTTAATTTAATCTTTCCTAATGTGAATAAAAATGTTATATATTGAACTTTAAGGGGAATAGATGGATGAGAAATGTTAAAGTCATAGACAGAGGCAGTGATCCTAATGTATAGGAGGAATGTCACATTTTGGGTTGAAAAGTAATTCGGCAACAGTATCTTCTTTTACAAAATACATCTCTCTGAAAGTCTTTCTGATGTGTTTGAATGCAGCCCTTAGACGGCCATTACCAGTCATGTGTTGGTAATGAGAGCCAGGTGTGCACATTGCCCTGCCTTGGGGTGTTGGGTGATGGAGAAGACCCAGTAAGACTCTAGGAATCAACTTGGAGTTGATTCCTAACCTGCAATGCTGTGTGTTAGTTATGATCATTTTAAAATAATGAATCAATCAATCAATCAATAATGGGAGGAAATTAAGCAATTACTAAATCAGTTTATCAAGTAGGATTTGTGAAATGTCCACACATGAATAGCGTAATGACATGTACTGAATAAATTGTGTCTGTTTCTACCCTTTTGGCAATTAGGACATGATCTAACTGGAATGTCAAGCTGTGCTTTGTAAATTGATCTAATATCTAGTGGTTTTAATAATTGAAGATTATTTTAAATTGCAACCCGATCCTTATTTATTAGTTTACTAAGCCATCCAATTTACTTATTATGATAGTAGTTAAAATGTTTTAATGTTCTCTGTTCATTATGTGCTGTTAAGATCACATTTATGCTGACAGCAAATCAGATCAGTGTTAGTAAAAAGTAAATGTTGATGTAAACTGGGCCAACATGATCCATTTTTCTAAAAATGTGAATTCATACAGTTTAAATTCATATTATCTAATTTGAGACATTATTTAGATATTCTGAAAATTTAAAATTACAGAAGTTAATTCTGTCTTTATGTTTCAGATCTGTGGAGTAGTAGTTTTTACCTTTTTTGTGTATTACAAGCTCTTTTGAGAACCTATTAAAAGCTATGAACTCTTTCACCAGAAAAATGCCTGTACAACTAAAGAAGATTCACAAACTTCTCAACCTATTCCATAAAACGTAGGTGAAAAATCCCCAATAAATTTTAAATTTCATTTATTTTTTCTTGTGGTGGGGAGAGTGTCTACCATTTCATTAAGAGCTTCTGTAGTAGTAATATTTATTTGTTTGTTTATTTGTTTATTGAAAAATAGTTGATTGCTTATCAGTAATTAAGTTACTTTGAATTCAAGAACATTTGAAGACATATATGTATATATGATATATACTACAATATATTGTTAAGATATATGCACACATATGTAAGTACATATATGTGTGTTTGTAATACAAGGTAGGAGAAGCCAAGAGTGGATTTTGGGACCTAATGAAACTTAAAAGCTTTTGCACAGCAAAGGAAACCATAAAAAAGATGAAAAGACAACCCTCAGAATGGGAGAAAATATTTGCAAACGAAGCAACTGACAAAGGATTAATCTCCAAAATGTAAAAGCAGCTCATGCAGCTCAATATCAAAAAAACCAAACAACGCAATCCAAAAATGGGTAGAAGACCTGAATAGACATTTCTCCAAAGAAGATATTCAGATTGCCAACAAACACATGAAAGGATGCTCAACATCACTAATTATTAGAGAAATGCTAATCAAAACCACAATGAGGTATCGCCTCACACTGGTCAGAATGGCCATCATCAAAAAATCTACAAACAATAAATGCTGGAGAGGGTGTGGAGAAAACGGAATCCTCTTGCACTCTTGGTGGGAATATAAATTAATACAGCCACTATGGAGAACAGTGTGGAGGTTCTTTAAAAAACTAAAAATAGAACCACCGTATGACCCAGCAATACCACTACAGGACTACTGGCCATATACCCTGAGAAAAGCATAATTCAGAAAGAGTCATGTACCACAATGTTCATTGCAGCACTATTTACAATAGCCAGGACATGGAAGCAACCTAAGTGTCCATCGACAGATGAATGGATAAAGAAGATGTGACACATATATACAATGGAATATTACTCAGCCATAAAAAGAAATGAAACTGAGTTATTTGTAGTGAGGTGGATGGACCTAGAATCTGTCATACAGAGTGTAGTAAGTCAGAAAGGGAAAAACAAATACCGTATGCTAACCATATCTATGGAATCTAAAAAAAAAAAATGGTTCTGATAAACCTAAGGGCAGGACAGGAATAAGGACACAGACTTAGAGAATGGACTGAGGACACGGGGGGAAGGGGAAGCTGGGACGAAGTGAGAGAGTATCATTAACATATATACACTACCAAATGTAAAATAGATAGCTAGTGGGAAGCAGCCACATAGCACAGGGAGATCAGCTCAGTGCTTCGTGATCACCTAGAGGGGTGGGATAGGGAGGGTGGGAGGGAGATGCAAGAGGGAGAGGATATATGTATACATATAGCTGATTCTCTTTGATATACAGCAGAAACTAAGACAACATTGTAAAGCAATTATACTCCAATAAAGATGTTTAAAAAAAAAGTGGATTTGGGTAGTGGAAACAAGCTAGACCTTTGTCAAAGATATTAAAGGATATGATACCTGAGAGTAACAGATAATTGTGTAGATCCCTACAGTATAATACAGAATGATAACTGCTGTAAGAGAAGTAAGAATAAACTACTGAGCAGATATGGGGGAAGCTACAGGTTTTCTCCTCATAGGCTGATCTTACAATGTATGAAGGGCTGGTGTAAGGTAGGTAAGATTTCTATAGCTAGAGACTGGAAGAAAGAGAATCCCAGAAGGAAGAATGATAGTAGCAAAAAGGTAAGAATGAAAGGGCATATGTGTGGTACAATGAAGAATCTGACACACTGGCAAGTAGGGGAGAAACGGGAGGCGAAGCAGGGAATGGAAGGGGTAGGGGTGGTGCAGTTTGTGGGTGGACTTGAGCACTTTTGGAGGGAGTTTAATCTTATAGGATAGCATTTGTGTCTCTCTCGAAGTTAATTGTCAAAGTGAATGGCCTGATTCCCCGCAGTAGAATAAGAAACAACATGATGTGAGAGTAGGGTGAGGTTTGGGGCAAGCCCTGTGGGGAATGTGAAGGCAAAGCAGCAACAAATTAAATTGATTGCTAAATTCATCGAAGACCTTAGCAAAACTGGGTGGCGTGCATTTGTAGGGGAACCAGATACGTCTCCATCATTACCCAACTTTCTAAGAGTTGGGATGGAAAAGCAGAAAATGGAAGTTTCCTCATCCTTAGATTGAACAAACTGAGGGTCTGTGAGAGCTCTAAGCTATGAGACTAGAATGTCTGACCAACTGTAGGACTGGATGGGAAAGATTGATGTCAGAATGGGAAGGGGTAGTTCTATTACTGGAATCTCATTGCAAACACTGGAGAATAAGGAGTTGGGTTCAAAAGAAGGGAGATAATAGAAAAGGTGGGAGAAAGGTGGTTGGTGGGAGAGACGACAGATATAGAAGTTTAGATCTTGGAGAGGAGTGATGTAGAAGCCCCTGATTGGCCACCAAATTAGATGGAAGGTTTAGTTTTCTCAAAGGATGAGAGGCCATGAGGTCCAGCTGTTAGAAGAACCATCATTCTGTATTTTGGCCTTAATAAAGATGATCAGAAATATGGGACTGAAAAGGAACACAGCCAGGAGGGAACAAGGGTGTTGTGAGGATGGTAGATGTTTGTAATAATTTGGGGAGAGTTTGGTTTAAGCCAGGATGGTTAGGGAGAGTCAGGAGGCAGCTAGGATGAGGAAGATGAATTGGGAGGGATGGAAATGTTTGTTCAATGAGTATGTGAGCCAAGTGACTAAGGAAGAGCAAAGGTAGGCTTCAGGCAAAGCACTTTCTCAACTTCAGCAATATTGCCATTTTGGATGATTCTTTGTAGTGGAGGCTGTTCTGTGCATTGCAGGATGTCTAGCAACATCCCTGGTCTCTACACACTAGATGCCAGTAGCATATTCCCAGTTGTGACAAGCAAAAATGCCTGTAGACATCGCCAAATTGCAAAATAGCCCCCTCATTGAGAACCACTGAGCTAAAAAGCAAGGTGCTAGAAAGAACACTTAGAAATAACAGCAGGTTTCCTTCATAATAGATTTTGAGTTGTCCAGAGGACAGTGGAGGTGATTGTGAAGGGAACACGAGCCTGGAGGCCTGGTCGCTGTGGACCTGAGGGTCATACCTTGAGGAGCACCGTGGCCTGGGTCACAGCCATCCCTTTGATCTATGGAAATAGAATCTTCAGGGAAGCAACCTAGCCATCCGGACATTTTGAAAACTCTCTAGATGATTTTATTGTGTTTCCAAGCAGGTATATATTAAGGAGAGCGGGCTGGTGGACTAACAGCTATGAAGTTATGGAGAGCAACAGGAGGAAAGACAAAGGAGACTGGGAGGTAGGTTGAGCCATACATTAGGGAAGGGGAGTACCGAGTAAGCCTTTGTGGGCATATCGACTGGAGAGGCAACACTGAATCTAGATTTATCTGAAAGCTGCCTTTTATGGTCAATTATGTGTTCCACCAAGCTTTTACTTTCTTGGCTGTTTTGCTCAGTTTAGTTTGAGCCAGGTGGATGTTATATAAGACTCAGTGAATGTCATCTTTCCTTTGGTGCCAGTAAAGACTGTTGATGAATATTTGACACTTTTAATTTGTCCTTTCCCGAATCTGCTAGTCTGCTAAATGCAGTATGTATGTCTTTGTGAAATTTCTTAATTAAGAAAGGTTTCAGGTAAGAAGTATACATTGATTATAAGGTAGACATGTAATTGTTTTTTTTGTTTTGTTTTGTTTTTTGCGGTACACGGGCCTCTCACTGTTGTGGCCTCTCCTGTTGCGGAGCACAGTCTCTGGACGTGCAGGCCCAGCGGCCATGGCTCACAGGCCCAGCCGCTTCGCGGCATGTGGGATCTTCCCGGACCGGGGCACGAACCCGTGTCTCCTGCATCGGCAGGCGGACTCTCACCCACTGCGCCACCAGGGAAGCCCCATGTAATTGTTTAAATGGAGAGCCAGATGTGAGAAATTTTGGGTCAAATTATGAATTTCTAATTCAATAAAAGATTTGGATAAGAGTTAATAATATGATTATAACTTCAAAAGTAAACTTTTTTAAGACTAAAGAGTTGGGTAACTTTTCCTTGCTTTTATGGAAATATGCACACACACACACACAGACACACACAAATGATAACTACTGCCCTTCAGGAACTTGCAATTAAAAATTCTTAAACTATTTATATTCCTTTGGTGAGCCCCCAAACCCAAGAATATTCAACAACCATTGTAATATTTGATATCCTGATTTGCCAGAAGGTCCATTTTTTGCTGAAGAAGTATAGTAAAACAAAAGAGATTCGTCTTTTAAATTATCCTGTCTTAGATTGTATAATGTCTCTTTTTCCAACTTGATTTCTTTTTAACTCAGTCTTTTGGTGGACTCTAATTTTCATGCCTAGAGAGAGGGGAATAAATGATAGATTTCTTGAAGGTCCCTTTAACTTGATGGTTTTATGATTAAATTTTGCGTTTAAAAATTGCCTTTTTCTGGGAGATCCAGGCCTGAAGGTGCTTTTCCAGCTCCATATTTGTATGGAGAGCAATTAATATAGCACGTCATGCATTTTTCTTTAATACAGTACAGGGAAAAATAGCAGTAATAGTTGCAAAAAAAACCTTTAATAAACTTGGAAGTAGGTGCATATGAAGTTTTTCTGATTTGCAGTGATGGTGCGATCCTCCTAAAAGTATACTTGGATCCTCTGAAAATTTAGGTGTGTGAAAGTGGTGTGTGTGAGGGGGCAGTGGGTGTAGTGGGTGTAGGATGAGAGCAAGGGGGGAAATAAAAATGATGCTGTTCATAGGAATTGACTTGGGTGTTCTGTTATATGTGAGAAGAGGGAAGTGGGTTATCTTAGAAATACACTCTGCACTTCTTAGTGCATTGTTCTTCTGGATGTGGTAGGTTTTCAGCAGGTCTTGTTAACTGGATATCCAGTGTTCAGGGTGAAAAGTGGAGCCCACATAAAGTCATCAGTGCAGAATGAAATAGAGGCA